GGCCCCTAACCCTCAACCCTAAACCCTAAACCCTAAGCCGCCTCAGTCTACCACTCTTCAACAGCTGAGGTACCGCTACCTGTCGAACTTATACCGCAGATCCGATGCCCAGCTCAATGAACGTTTTAGGGTTAGGGTTTAGGGTTTAAGGTTTAGGGTTTAGGGTTTAGGGTTTAGGGTTTAGGGTTTAGGAGGGATCTAAAATTCACCGCCAGGGGTTAACGAGGGGGTCCAGCAAGGCGTCATGCCCAAGGCAAAGCGCAGGCGTAGTCCTTTCAAGATCAGCTAAAGTTAACAAATCTTCCCAACCAGAACCCCTGATGCTTCCAACCTGCACGCTGCACAGCGAGGCTCAGCGTGGTAAGATTTTGCCTCGTGCGACTGGAGGACCAGCGAGGGGTTTGTCAATTAGGGCCTTGTGTGCTATCGTGGCAAATACCCAGGCTGTTGAGTCGCCCTGCGTGCTTAGCCTTAGAGCCCGCCCCCCCCCCCCTCAAAAAAAAAAAACAGCAGAAAAACAATCATGGTATGGGCAGGGTTTAGGGTTCGGGTTCAGGGCTTGCTGGACCCAATTCCCTCAAGCCCTCAGCTTAAAACTCTGCAAGCCTGAAGCCCCCAGCCTTGACTGAAAAGCCGATGCCTTAAAACCCTGAAAGCCCCAAAACACCAGAACCCTAAACCAGAATCCCTAGCCCTACACCTAGCCGAATGCCTAAACCCAATACTTTTAAACTGAACTTCGAAACCTTGAACTTTAAATGCTAAGCCCTGAACCCTGAATTCCGAGAGCCCTAAGTCCCAAACCCTAAAACAAGGGTCATTTCAGACCATATCGTCCTGACATTGGCATGTGCGATGTGTTCACTTGATGCTCATACGGAGCGGGATCACATTTTACGAAAGGGTTAAAATCCCCACCGCCTTGTCACAACAGGCACAAAGTAGTCACAACGAATCGCATCGAGCCACAACATCACATAACATCACATGATCTTTTGCTGCTCTTTGGACCCTATGGTCCTCAAATTTATTTTACAATCCGGTCTGGGGGGCCGTTTTCAAATCTCGTGCCAATGCCACTCGAATGTCTCGAGGGGTCTGGGCACTACCGCCAGGAAAGCGAATCGATTTCTTTTTCAGCTGTTAGAAGATGTGGCTCGGCCTGCACAGTCGACTCTGCTCTGACGGCCCCGAGCCCTCCTAGTCCTGGGACCTCTTACCTACATGGGTCATTATACCCTTTAACCCCCTTAACAAGGCCCTTTATAGGGTTGGCTAGGGGGATTATAAGGCCTAATAGCCCATGCTGGTATCCATACTTCCCCCATTCCTCGAGGAGTCAAGACCCTTTCAGAACCGAAGGTATGTCCATCGCGTTCAGCAACCCCTGCGTGCCCCGCGGCAGAAGGCGGCCAACAACGCCAGGCCTGGGGTGACCTGCGGGGACACAGGGCCGTTGTTTCGAGGAGGGTACAAAAACCGGTGTCACCAAAGGGCCCATGGTGTGTGTGTGTGTGTGCGCGTCCCTACACTTCCAACCCCCTCACCACCACCCTCACCACCACCCTCACCACCACCCTCACCACCACCCTCACCACCACCCTCACCACCACCCTCACCACCACCCTCGCCACCACCCTCGCCACCACCCTCGCCACCACCCTCACCCCCCACCACCACCACCGCCACCACCACCATGTTTCACACCTTCGCATGCATGTAGGCTGAGCTAAGTAGGCAGTCTCCATCGGGCGGCCAGCCTAAGCGCAAACCAGGACAATGTAAGGGTGTAACGTTCACAACATTTCCCTGTCAGCTGTATGCAATGGTATGCAGGTTCTCACTTTTTCCAAGCAGTGGGCAAGGCATGCATCAAAACTGGGCGATCATATCGCCGACTTGCAAAACTAACGAGTTGTTGGGCTGGCTTGCCTGGACCCGAACCTGCCCTGGAACCTTTAAATTGTCCCCCCCCCCCCATGCTCTTACGGTTGGGGAACAGTTCTCACGTCCCTTCCGGTTGTACATTCACGCGTCGCGCGCTGGATAATGTCAAGTCTCATTGGACAAGAGTTTGTACATCATTTTAATCACCAAACATCTCCCAGCATGATACAAAGAATCCTCGACCCTAAACATCCGAAAACCCTAAACCCTAAACCCTAAACCCCTCATCCCGACGAGGCGGCGGGCGCTGCGGGTGGCCAAACGCTCGGCACCTGTCCGGCGTCGGGTGCTTCGGCCACTTCCTGGTGGTTAGTAGGGAAAGAAGGAATGGGTTACCCTATATCTTCCTGTATATACCCTTTAAGGGAGTATGAAGTTAAGGTACCCCATATCCCCCTATATATGCCCTTTAAGGGATTGTATAATGTAATCCCTTATAGGGTATATGTAGGGGGATATAGGGTGCCTCATTCCCTCATTCCCTACTAACCAACAGTAAGGCAAAAGCTGGAAGGTGTCGTTGCGGGCGCTTTCTTCCGTGGCAGGAGGGGGAGGGGGTTGTTGTGAAAGAAACCATTGTTGTTGCCGACATCGTCGATTTGCCAAGGTTGCCTGCAATGTCCCACAATTATGGACATCACCTGGCTTGTGGATTTTTATTTGTGCTGGTCCATGATCGGCTGGGCTGTCGGGAAGTGGCATTTGCTTGGCTAAACGAGGCCGGCGTTTCAGTTTGCTTCTCGTGTGCGTGTGGGTGTGGGTGTGGGCGCGGGTGTGGGTGTGTGTGTGTGTGTATGTCCATGTTCCAAAGTAGTGCCCCCTCAACAGAAGTTTGTTTAAGGAGAACCTGAAGTCCTCGAGGTGGCACGTGCACTACTCAAAGCCACTGCTGCATCCTAAAGTATCCCTCATCCCTCATATCTCAAATCACATCTCAGCTGACCGTTTGAGAGCAGCTGAGGTGCAGCTGGTTTCCCGTCGAGTCGTTCGGCAGAGATGGCAAAATGGCTAGCGGAAATAGCGGCTAGCACCCCCTGTACAGGTGTTCAGTGTGTGTGTGTGTGTGTGTGTGTGTGCTCTGGGCGTGTGGCAACATAAACAGATCTTGCTTGCAATTTTCAGTTGAAGTTGAGGGCCGTCCATGTCAGCGCTGAAGGGTTTGGGGGCTTAGGATGTTGGGTTCTGCGGTCCATCATCTTCTTCAGCAGCTCTGTCACAGTTCTGTCCGTTTGCAAACCTGATCCCTCAGCAGTTGTGTCCGTTTGCAAGTTTGATTCCGCAGCACCCATTAAGCGACAAGCAGGGACGCGGCACAGACGGTTTGTCAGTCGTGCTCAGTATGCCCCACGTGTAGCCCAACGTGTCATGACATGTAAGTACTCAGAGGGCTTGAGGGCTTTCGGATGTCAGCCTAAAGGGCTCCAAGCCCTGCAGAATGCCTGAAACTTCGACGAGAAGATCCCTGACCCTCCAACCTGCGAGGCCCTTCGGCTCAGGGACGCGACTCCACCTGCAAGTAGGGTTTAGGGTTTAGGGTTTAGGGTTTAGGGCTTAGGGCTTAGGGCTTAGGGCTTAGGGCTTAGGGCTTAGGGCTTAGGGCTTAGGGCTTAGGGCTTGGGGCTTAGGGCTTAGGGCTTAGGGCTTGGGCTTAGTAATTATTCTGCACCCCCACTGCCCACCCCCAGGGACGCCTACAGCACAGTGCTGCGCCCTTTGTGATAGAACGCATGTCTGAGCACCCCCATAGCCCCTGACAGCCGCTCCAGATGTTTCTGAGGTCTCGTCCTCCCCGCATTCCGGGTGCGGGTCTGAGACGCCATGAAGAGCCGTATTATTTGTGGGTTTCAGCAGCACACCCTTACTTGCAGTACACACACACACAACCCTAAACCCCAAACCGCAAACCCGAAAAACCCTAAGCCCTAAACCCCCTAGACCCCCCGAAACACATCCCAATCCTGCAGCAGAGCCCGAAGTGCTCCCGGAAGTCCTCGAGGCTTGAGCCGCCACCTGCTCCGGCACCGGGCGAGTGGAAACGAGACCCTGAGCTTGCAATGCTTGCAGCCATGGAGAAGAGGGATGGGTTCGCTTCGGATTGGGGCTGGATTTGGTATTGAGACTTGAAGTACAAGCGAGGCTGTTGGGAGGTGGAATTTTCCGGCCACATTCAGCAAATCCTTACATCCAACTCTCAACTCCGTTTCAACTATTCTCATCAGCCCCAGGAACAGGTCGTCGACCGCCTCCGCGTGCGTCTCGTCACGCGCCGAACCACACAACTCATAGCCGCACTGGCAGCATCGAAGACTCCCCAATCCTAAAGCACGAATCCCAACACTGCCTAAACACTAGCGCCCTTAAGGCCCAGTGTCCTTACGCCCTGCTTTTGGAGGCTTCTGGCGAGTTCAGCGGTTGTGATGTGAGCTGCTGGCTTGGCTTTGCCGCCTGCAGCACGGCAAGCTAAGGAAGTTCTTGAGAGGCGGCATGGAGAACGATGGTCCCAGCAGGTTCTGGAAGGCATGCTGGAATCAGATGGAACCTGCTCTGTTCATAAGAAGACTAGTGCTGTTTGATCCCATTATATCCCATTGCAACATAAGCTAAATAGGTCAAAGCTTGTCTGTTTGTTGGTTTTCGCTCGGAGGTGCTGGTAACAGACGTGCCCCGGCTTCAACAAAAAAACAGGGGATTCACGGCGGCCCATTTGCGGTTCTCATAAACGAAAACTACATGAAACATGTGGGCTTCATCAAGATCCTGCACGGTTGCTGTCGGATCCGAAATGAAAAACGTTGTTAGGCATAAAGTACGCACATTGACCATGGCGCTGATGAAACTACAGAAGAAGCGAGGTCCAACTTCACGTTTTTTGGGCCGCTGGATCGTCATCAACCAGGGCCCCGAGTTGAACCCCAAACCCCAAACCCTAAACCCTAAACCCTAAACCCTAAACCCTAAACCCTAACCCCTAACCCCTAAACCCCTAAACCCTGAACCCTGAACCCTGAACCCTGAACCAGCTTGTTGGAGGTGGCTTCCATGTCGATGAGGCCATGCGCCGCATTTGTGAGGCCGGGGTGCAGGGGATGTTCTTCAGTTTAGGGTTTAGGGCTTAGGGTTTAGGGTTTAGGGTTCTTCAGTGTATTGCAGTGTTTTCCCGGAAGAATGCTCGGCGACAGCATTGCTGGGAGAATCTGACGACCGGTTTAAATAACAGGTTACTTAGGGTTTAGGTTTTAGGGTTTTAGGGTTGTAGGGTTTTAGGGCTTTAGGGCTTTAGGGCTTTAGGGCTTTATTAGGGTTTTAGGATTTTAGGGTTTAGGGTTTAGGCTTTTGCAGTTCAGAGCAGCGCATGCCATCCCCGACCGACGGAGGCCTTCCAGCTTCGACCTGAACTGGAGCGACAGGTGCCGGGAGTTTGCTCACCCTAAACCCTAAACCCTAAACCCTAAGAGTCCCTTTTTTTAATTATGGTAATAGTAATATTCGCCGGGCCAGAGGGCCCCAGCCGAAGACTACGTTCCATTACGGGAGGTTTTCGGGCCGATGTATGTAAACAAGTCTATATAGGGGGGTCCGGTGATAATAATAATGGGGTGGTAATTGTAAAATTTTTCCGGCCAGGAATTGAAAACTCTACTGAAAATGGCTGAAGAGTTCCATTGCAGAGAAGACTTTTCAGCTGGCTACCCTTACCCTGACAGCTGACCCCCCCCCAGACCCCCAGACCCCAGACCCCCAGAATCCGCATTATTGACACCCCCTCTTTTTTTCCACCCCTCCAAACCCCGGGGACCAGAACAAGATGGGGGGGGGGGGTTTATTAATGGAACCCTAACATTAAACCTTAAACCCTAAACCCTTTTGCGTGACCTTGCGGCCACATGACAAAAACCCCGAGAGAAGGTGCACACAGCACCCGAGCGTGGCAGCTGACGGCCCTTGTCCCACCAAGCAACTTGCAATCTGTCAGGGATAGGCTTTGTGACGTCGTCCCATGGCCTAAAATGGTGAGAGACGAGAGAGTCCTAATTTCCCGATGCCCTGCAGCCCAAAAACTTGGAGCCCTGAGATGGAAAAGTTCCCAAAGAGCCCAACACCCCTTAGTTAAGGAATATTCCTTAAATCATAATCAGGATCCCTTTATAATTTGAACTATGTTCCTTAAATTAAGGGGTATTGGGCTCTCTGGGCTCGTGGCTGCGGGAGGTTCTGACCCTGGCCCGACGGCGGGCGCGGGGCTGGCAGGGGGCCATTGGCCTGAGCTGATGGGATTCGCTGGGGGTTTTCGGGCTTTTGCTCCCGGGCTACTCAGGGCTACTCAGGGCATTTAGGGTTTAGGGTTTAGGGTTTAGGGTTTAGGGTTAGGGTTTACGGTTTAGGGTTTAGGGTTATTTGTTATTTGGGTTTTAGGAGGCTTGGGTGTTTGCGGTGCCGAGGCGTCATCCGAATGTTCCGGGTCTCCGAGCGAGAGCGACGGCGAACAGCCGCACGTGCGGTCCAGGCCCTGATGGGTGTTTCCCAAAATAGGGGCACCCCCTTATACCCCAAATAGCAGACAATCCCCTCAAAGACACCCCCAAAAAGGGCACCCCTATTTTCGGAACCCCCCTGATGTTGCGTCACCCAAAAGGTGCAAGTAGGCTTAAAAGGGCCGAGGGGTGGACAGTGGAGATGAGTGGAGTGTTCAGGTTTCAGGGTTTGGGGTCGGGACTCGTCGGTTGGAGTTTGAAGTCTGGGTTTGGGTTTTGGGACCCTGTAGCCCGCCGTGCTTTTCTGTACCAAGAGCAAGGCCCTTAGCACTTCTGCCGGCAGACTAAACCCAGACCCTCCATAAACCCTAAGCTGCACTAGAATAGGCCCTAACCCTAAACCCTAAACCCTAAGCCATAAACCCTAAACCCTAGGCCGGGCGCCTTGGACAAGCTGGATTTGGTGGCACGCCTCAACGAAGATGGCCCAGGTGCAGGGGGCTTCAGCATGCTGAGCTACGAGGTCATTCAGGGTCTCCCTTTCCCGCTCTATGTCTCCCGGCCTCTCTCTCTCTCTCTCTGACTTTCTGTTTCTGCACCTCTCTATGACGCCGTCACTTTTGGAGCTTTGTCTTTTTCAAAAAGTGCAGACAGTCACGAGGATGCGACACGTAGGTGGCGCGATCCATCCTTGTGACTGTCGTCACTTTTTGAGCTTCGTTTTACAGAAACACTAAAGCCCTAAAACCTGCAACCCGGAACAAGCACTTTAAAAGCCCTCAAAAGCCCTAGGCCCCAAGCCCTACAACCCTAAAACCTTAAACCCTACAACACTGAGAACCCTAAATCCTAACCCCCCCTCACCACACAGGGTACCACGGGAGGCCGGACCGCGGCGACGCTGCACCACGTAATCATACGTAATATGTATGTATGTATATATATATATAGATGTATATCGTAGGTGCGTCAGATATCACGCTGCACATGCATCAGGGGTATCTTGCTCCAGTAGTCTATCTCGGAATCCCTCCAGCTCTCTGGTCTGGCTTCCGATCAGTTTGTGCGCAGAGTTTTTCTGCTTCGCTTTTCGTCTGTCCATCTGAAGGCAGCTGTCGCGTCATGGGCCGCAGCCCTCGCTAGTGATGCATGGTGATGCCCCACCCTAAACCCTAAACCCTAAACCCTAAACCCTAAACCCTAAACCCCCATGAGGTTCCACTCGGTCGACCGCCTCCACGGCATCGTTTGGCTCTCTTTCGCCGTCGTCGGCGCCGTCGGATGATGAGGTGGTTTTGATTGCTTTTGTGGCATACCAACATGGGCTATTGGGCCTTATAATCCCCCTAGCCAACCCTATAAAGGGCCTGTTTAAGGGCTTGTAGGGTATAATAGCCCATGGTTGTAGAGAGGCTGCACGATGTCAGACATGCTCGACACTTTGCAGCATCCTCTGGGAGCAGCAGAGCAGCCGCAGCAGTCGTTTCCATTCTAGCAGCTAGAAACGCAAAGGCCACCGAGAAATATGCCAGCAACCATGCGGCTTGGCATTGAGGTCGAGTTTTATCTCCTCACTCTCGCAGCCCCATTAGGCCGCGAACAAACCCTCTTCGCAAAGCTACCCTAAACCCTAAACCCTAAACCCTAAACCCTAAACCCTAAACCCTAAACCCTAAACCCTAAACCCTAAACCCTAAACCCTATTCGCAAAGCTTAAGTCGGCAGCCGAGGAGATTGAGTGGTTTTTGGAGGCTGCGCAGCGACATGGCCTTGACAGCTCGGGCAGGCTGGAACATCCAGGGCTTCAGCGCAAAGATGCTTCAGTGGGTTTAGGGTTTAGGGTTTAGGGTTTAGGGTTTAGGGTGTAAGGATGTTAGGATGTTAGGATGGCAGGAGATGTGAAGAGTTGGGTGTTTGCGTTCAGGTCTGGGTTTGAGAAGATCAGGACTTCCTGCCCTGCGCCACTCATGCCTGCACACCGCAATCCTGAATCCTCGTTGTTCAGTCAGCGAGCCTCGTGGGATCTTGTGCTCTGACTAGTATCGTTTCACGAAACCCTAAACCTTAAACCCTAAACCCTAAACCCTAAACCCTAAACCCTAAACCTTGAACCCAACCATACAGCATTTGGAAGCCCGAAGCTCCTAAGCGACCCTGTCTGGGAGAACAGAGCTCTTACGAGTTCTGTTGGCGGACCCGAGCAAGCTGTGCTTGAAACCCTAAACCCTAAACCCTAAACCCTAAACCCTAAACCCTAAACCCTAAATACCCTGCAAGTCATGGGCACAAGTGAAAGCAATTTGGGCATTTGGAGACCCCAAGTTCTAAACCTTCTGAACCCCCCCTTGAACCCAAAGCAGTGAAACTCAAGACGCAGGGCCTCGTGGCTGCAGCGGGCTATGCGCACACTGGACTTGGAACCGTCGGAGCCCCAGCACAGCTGTCACAAGGGTTTCAGGGTGTTTTTGTGGGGGCACTGTGCTTAATCCCTAAACCCACAACCCTAAACCCTAAACCCTAAACCCTAAACCCTAGTTAAGGGCACCTTGCAGGATCTAGAGCTCAGAGGCACCTTTGATTTTTCATGTATCACATTGCGGCATGCGGCACTTGCCAAGGATGTGCAGGCTTGCATAGATGAAGACAGTTCGAGAAACACTGGGGAGGGTTTAGGGCTTAGGGTTTAGGGTTTAGGGTTTAGGGTTTATGTGGCCGGGCTGGGTTCTCATGGGCTCACGGGCATGGAGTGGTGGTGAACATGGTGAACCTTTGAGAGTTACGATCAGATAGGCTTGGCTGCGTATGGGAGTTCAAGGAATCCACAGGAACTCCCGAAATTCTGAAACACGGGGGGTGTACGAAAATACGGGACACCTCCTAAGTAGTGGGGATCCCCTTAGAATAAGGCCCCTTAATACCGTAAACCCCCACATGGATATTCGGAGGTGCACGGCGGCCTCGACAGAGGCCCCCGGGCTGCATGGTTTAGGGTTTAGGGTTTAGGGTTCAGGGTTCAGGGTTCAGGGTTGACGGTTTAGGGTTTAGGGTTTAGGGTTTAGGGTTTAGGGTGGGGCACACAGAGCACTGCATGCGCTTCTCAAGTCTCAAGCCTCGGCGCATCATCTCATGCTAGATTGCGGGGCTTACGAGAATAAGGGGCCCCTCATATAGACGCCCCTAAATAGTAGGATCCCCTTAGAGTAAGGACCCCCAATAAGGTACGCCTAATATCGTAAACCACCCTAAACCCTAAACCCTAAACCCCCTAATATCGTAGACCCCCACGCTCTCGGAACGTGGGCGCAGGATGAGGAGGAGGACGAGCTCCGCCACAAGCTGGTTACGGCCATCATCAACGCAGCCCCTCGACTCGCTGCTCTCGCTGGGGTTTAGGGTTTAGGGTTTGGGGTTTAGGGTTTAGGGTTAGGGTTTTAGGGCTCTCACTCACTCTCTCTCTCTCTCTCTCTCTCTCTCTCTCTCTCTCTCTCTCTCTCTCTCTTTACTTCTTGTACATACAAGTTTAACATTCATTTCCCCATGTCCTCGCTGCTTGCAGAATCGGCAAACATCTCAATTCAACTTCTTTACCACCTTTCTTTCTGCCTTTCTTTCCTTTTCTGTACCTTTTCCTCAATCTTTCTTCCCCCCCTTCTCCCTCTCCCTCCGCGCCGCTGTTTAGGCCTGACCGCGTTTGCTAAGGTTTCTTTTGTCCCCACTCGTTCCGTGGTGGATCATCCTCAAGAGTGAACAGTCTCAGTCAGATACGAAGGTCAGATCCACTCAGTTCTGGCTTCGTCCTACATGCTTTCTCCCTCGCAACTTCTCTGAGGAGCGCCACGCAAAAGTGTCGGAGGCCTTGCACGAGGTGCATATGATGGTGCGGGGCATGTGTGGGCCTAACCACGTCCCACCCTAAACCTTAAACCCTAAACCCTAAACCCTAAACCCTAAACCCTAAACCCTAAGCCCGGCTTATGGTTGTGGCTGGAGGTGCTCGGAGATGCAGCCACCTTTGGCGAGAAGGATTTGGATGACATCGTCCGGCCGCGACAACGAAGTGGCTTAGTTGCAGCTAGGGATTGCCTAATTGTCTCTGCATCGGTAAACCCTAAACCCTAAACCCTAAACCCTAAACCCTAAATATGAGGTTCAATCATCTTGACGTGCTGATCGGAGCGTCACAGGATCACTCGGTGTCAGCCTTTTTTCAGCACTTGTCTTGCAGCTTCACCTGCTGAGGCATTAATTTCAAAGATTCTGACATTCGCCACTTGTCTGCACATGTCTGGAGACCGACATCGGGCCTGAATGCATGCAACATTCTGCTTTCAGGCAACGTTGCCGAAGAGACTTCGGACCTAGATCACCCGGGGGTGATTAATGTAGTCTTATACTTATACACATACATTGTGTATATATTGATGCGCTTCTGGAACCATGCACGCATCTACATCTAAATGCGCGTTGACATCTAGAGGCGCAGAATAACAGCACAAGAAGGGGCCCTAGCCATTCATTTGCCAAGGCTTCTTCATTATCGACCCCGAGGATGAGGCGATGAGGGAAGAGTACTGCCGACCTTTGCGAACCAAGGCAAGGAAGGGCTGGTGGGGCATTGGGATTCGGATGGATGTGCGGAGTTTTTGGCTTCAGGGTTTGAGGATCAGGCTCACGACTTTAAGGTGAGCTCAACCGACAACCTAGTGCAACTGGCGAGGAAGCTGGCCCCCCAGCGTAGACCACGCCTGCTCCAGAACTGCGAGCCATAAGCTTCGGGCCTCTAAGGCCCTACGCATGGAAGCTTGACCTTTTCAGTGCCGACATGTGCCGACCACAAGACTAGATCCTGGGATCATCTCTAAGCCTTGCCAACAGCGCGTGCTGCCATGCATGATCAGATCCCGCTCGAAACACGTTTAGGGTTTAGGGTTTAGGGTTTAGGGTTTAGGGTTTTGGGTTGGACCCAGACCCAACTGCATCGTTTCTTAGGGCAGGGTCATGTCGGGTCAATATGCAGAGGAAGCAGGCTTGAGGCAAATTCCGGCACTAGGCAAGAGACGCAAAACGATGCTACATGATGCAACATGATGTATCCTAAACCCTAAACCCTAAACCATATAAACCCTAAACCCTATAAACCCAAAACCCTAAACCATGCACACCGTAGCTGCATCCTGACCTCTCAGGCCTTTGACGGCCCCAGCGGCCACAAAGCCCGGAAGGCCTCGTGCTTCGAGGAGGCCAGGAGTGGTTTCTGTGTTTACTGAGTTTAGGGTTTAGGGCTTAGAGTTTAGGGTTTAGGGTCTAGGGTTTAGGGTTTAGGGTGTAAGAATGGAAGTGTGGAGTCAGCATGAACCGTTCGCTTTGCCATTCCAGTTGCTGTTTTGCTGAGTGCTGTCATATGCCGTCACGAGACTGCGTAGTGTAATGTAGTGTAGTGATACAATGGCCGATTCCGGGTCATGACTGCGAGGCACTCAGGGTTCTCAGCTGCTGTTTGTGTTTGTCTTGGAGATGGGCCTTTGGTATGCGACGACGACGACGACGACGACGACGCTACCGCTGCCGCTGCCGCTGCCGCTGCCGCTGCCGCTCCTGCTGCTGTTGCTGCTGCTCCTGCTGCTGCTGCTCCTGCTGCTCCTGCTGCTGCTGGTACTGCTGCTGCTGCTGCTACTGCTACGGCTACGGCTACGGCTACTGCTACTGCTACTGCTACCACTTCTGGCACTACCTGGTCGTCATGCGCATGAATTTTCACGTCTGACTTGCAGGGGCTTGACTCTTCCGACGATGAGAGCGATGAGGAAGACGATGACTGGAAAGACCAGTGTGACGAAGTGGCTGCAGCTTGCAATGCAAGATGAACGCTTCCAAAAAGTGCAGTTCACATAGTCTAAGTGGTGCGGGATATCTCGGATGGGCGTTGACTCACGAATGCGGGCCTTGTGAATCATCTTCTCGAATCTGCAGCTGGGGCCACAACCCATGCATGAGCATGGTTAAGGCTCCCTGCTTTCATACATGACATGTTTTTGTCTTTGGGAGGGCTGTCTGGTCCACGGCTTCAGTAAATACGCACATTTTTGCAAAGGTGGGCTCTGCGCAGGTGCTGGAAGTAAGCACAGGGTTTTTGAGAACATCCCTTCTGCGGCGCGTTCGATACGACATGTTCGCGCGTCGCCACTGAGATGTCAGCACGAGGGCCAGCCCCGTAGAAAATGCCCTTCAGCTACTTCGCCCATGCGGACGTCGCCACAGGAACGATTAGAAAATGGCCGGAATTCGAAGGCTCCCAGAGAGCCCAATACCCCTTAATTAAGGAATATAGCTTAAGTTATGAAGGGATCCTTATTTCGATTTTAGGAATATTCCTTAATTAAGAGATATTGGGCTCTTTGGGCTGGTAGTTAGTTCACGCAACATGGCAGCAGCCGTGACACAAAAGTCTGTTCTCGAAGCGTCAGGCATGAGGCGTGTTATCCACTGCCAAGCCCGACTCGCTAGAGCCTCCCTTGGGTGTTCTCCATGACTTCCTGCAAAACTCACGACTCTAACTATCTGGGGGTTTCCGAAATTCGTGGTAGCTTATTGGGGATCATTTGGGGCTATATTGCGGGGGCCCCTTATTTTCGTAAACCCTAAACCCTACAAACCCGATAAACCCCAAACCCTAAACCCTATAAACCCCATAAACCCTAAACCCTATAAACCCTAAACAGGGATCATCCCCTGCGCATCCGAGGACCTGATGGGTCAGCAGCGTCAGATGGTTTTGTGGTCAGGATCTTGGTAGTCCACCAGCCGCGGGAAAGCGGAAGCCCAAAACCGTATCCTAATTTGAAAATTGAGGGTTCAGGGTTTAGGGTTTAGGGTTTAGGGTTTAGGGTTTAGGGTTTAGGGTTTAGGGTTTAGGGTTTAGGGTTTAGGGTTTAGGGTTTAGGTGTCATGGCTGACCGGGGCTCGCGCTTGTTGGTGTTGGGGTTCCAGTTTCCCGGTCCTGATCATGAGTTCGCAGCTGCTATTGTACAAGCTTCTGCCAGCGCAAGACTTTCGACATCTTTCAAATACAGATCCTAACGCCCTAGCCCTAACCACATTAAATATGGTAAAGACCTGGGTACACAAGTCCCAAGATCCCTAAACCCTAAACCCTAAACCCTAAACCCTAAACCCTAAACCCTAAACCCTAAACCCTAAACTTAACCTTAGTATGAGGAACTTGGTGGCTCAGTCAGCCAACAGGACTTGGAGTTGGCCCTTGATGTTCTTGAGACTCTTGAGCTTGTACGGAGGGCTTATCACGGTGTAGGGTTTAGGGTTTAGGGTGTAGGACTTTTGAAACTTCTGGAGTTTGGGTCTCCTTCCTGCTTTTGCGGGCGATGCTTTGCATGGCCGTCAAGCCCGCGGCTGTGGAGATTTGTTTACTCCTCTTGGCAACTGGGGCTGCCTGGTGCCAAACACATGTAATCCCGGCATGCAGCTCTTTGAAGAGCTTCTGCCTGTCTTGTATGGCTCGGGAGGTGAGTGTGGGCGGTGCATCAGCAAGAATCAGCATCTGAGGAGGTAAATTTTGAGCCCAGATGCCACAGATCCCACGGCACACCCAAGCCTTTGAGTCCAGTTCCACTTTGCGTTGCGCCAGCGTTGGCTCATTTTCGATCCAGTCTGGCTATGCACACTGCACATGGCCAGCACATGGATCCTGAGCAGAGATCTTCCTCGAGTGCGAATTCTGCTAGACGAAGCGCTGCAAGCGGGGCTCAGCACACAATTGAAGCTCAGCAGTTTTTTGCAGGGTTTCAGGGTTTTAGGGTTTAGGGTTTCGGGTTTAGGGTTTAGGGTTTAGGGTTAGTCCCACCTGGAGCGATTCGTTTCTGAATGCATGTGCCCCAGCCATGTTGAGGACTGGCATTTGAAGACATCTCGGCCCGGTGAGCTGCAATCTTGTTATCAACATGCCAGTTTTCAGAAGCACGAGTCATCTGCACTTCAGTGAAGTCTAGACCACATTGAACTAAAGTAACTAAAGATGGAGGAGCAGCCAAGGGGGTCCGGATCCGCCCTGAAGCTCTCGCCCTTGCACTTCAGTGGCTCACTCGATACCTTCGCAGTTTTGTTGCGGGCCGGTGCTGTTCAAGTTATTGCTGGTTTGAGGTCCAGGTAACCCTAAACCCTAAACCCTAAACCCTAAACCCTAAACCCTAAACAGAGTGAAAGATGGTTTGAGCTTAGCCACCCTACATCACCCTACTCTGAGCCCGACCGCGAAGCGTTGTACAGTTGGACACAGAGCCGTTCGAGACGCCTCAACAGAGCTGTTCAGTTCGCTTCAACACCTATTCGCAAGCCTACTTCTCGTCTGCGCAAGACAGCAAGCCATGCTGTCCGCAAAATCCTCAACCCCTAAATCCTAAGCCAAAAAAAGTCCCTGCTGGGGGGGGATCAAGTTGCGCTTCCAGCTTTAGCCTTGGGTTTGTACTCCTGCGGGTTGCTTCCAACCACGCATGCTGTAAGGACTGGGATGCCAGGGCACGAACCAGCCACAGCCATGAAACTTGAAGAGCTCGCCAAGCTCTAAGCCCCCACCCGTAAAATCATCAAGAATGCCCCACAGCCCGAAACCGCGGGTCTTCTGATCAAGAGACAAGTGCAGACGGAGGCTTGCTGAAGCCGCGGGGCCGTTCGGAAGAAGGACTTTCCATACTACTACGACGGTTCATGGGTACAGAGCTAATTCTCGGGCTATTGGGACAACTCAAAATGCCAGAAGCCTGTTCTTCTCCTCGCCAATGGCCACCCACGCGTCAGCTATTCCTCATACCTCGAGGTGGTACAGGCCCAGTCAGCAATGGGCGATGCAGACGTTGGACCAGCGCCAGAAACACTACGTGACACTAAGTGAACTTAAGAACGGCACAGCTCTTTGCTTAGAAGACTCCTTTTGCATTCTACAGCTGTAGAACTGTCACCTGGCATGCTAGCTCGGGCTAAGAGCCGGTGCTGTGCGCCATGCGACAGTTGTGGGCGCCGCTTTGGATATCGTTTGACGGAATGAATTTGTAAGCTGCATGCTGTCGCCTCCGATCGCAAAGATGTCGTGGAGCATAAACGCCCTCTCGGACTCAATGTCCGACTGAGAACACTTAGCTGAGTCAATATGGTGACCCTAAACCCTAAACCCTAAACCCTAAACCCTAAACCCTAAACCCTAAACCCTAAACCCTAAACCCTAAACCCTAAACCCTAAACCCTAAACCCTGGTCGGTAGATCGGACAGTTTTGGATTGCTTTGCCAGGCGACTTGAGTGCCTTGGCCCTCCAAGCGCATCGTGAGAATCGGCCACGGACCTCTAAAGCTCGAGTTGCGCCTGTCAAGACCATATCCCCCTTGGGTCTTGTTTCTTTAATTTCTTTATTTTGGTTTATATAAAACCTAAACCCTAAACCCTAAACCCCAGAGGATGTTAAGAACATTCATTTTATTAAGGTTCTGAGGGGAGTATCGACCATCTCCAGTTGAACTTCAGCATGGGATCCTGCCCTTGGTGTTAGCGCACGAGTTGTATGGGAAACGTCCCTAAACCCTAAACCCTAAACCCTAAACCCTAAACCCTAAACCCTAAACCCTAAACCCTAAACCCTAAACCCTAAGCTCTGCAAGAGAGTGCTTGAAAGTCGATGCTCGCCATGCGGGAAGAGGTGAGCCGAGGTGAGTCGAGCATTAGCGGCGCCTCAGCCCGCTACCCGCAGCACAAGCGAATGGTGAAAACGTGATTTAGGGTTTAGGGTTTAGGGCTTAGGGTTTAGGGTTTAGGGTTTAGGGTTTAGGGTTTAGGGTTTAGGGTTTAGGGTTTAGCCCTTGGGCGATGTTCGACACAGAGTGCAAGAGACAACGCAAGAGACTGCAAAGACCGGAGAGTGCGCACTTTCAAGTAGCTAGGAAAAGGGTGCAGTTTGAAGAGGACCTGCGCTCCTGTAAACATGAGTTCAACACCAAGAATCTTGAGACCGGATGGGCACGCCCTGGATTAGTAAACACTGTGCGTTCATAGCTGGCGTTTGCTGGCAATACAGGCGGCCATTTTAACATTAGCGTTACTTGCAAGACAGCATCAAAGTCAGATTTATACATTGGTAATCATCCAGCAGGAGATGCTGGCGCCTTCATACTCAAGATTCATCCCCACTCGACGACTTTAAGTATTAATCCAAGTTCCCGTTTTGTGTTTTGCATCAGCTTACTGTTATCTGAAGCCTAAAACCTAGAAAGTAGTTGGAGGATGTTAAAGGTTGGCGAGACTTTTGGCTGCTTAAGTGTCGCTTAGTTAATATGGTTTAGGACATCCAGACATGCCCAAACACACCCCGCGCCCTAAATCAATTCAAAGCCCAGGTTACAAACAACCATCCCTCCAGACCAGCTCAAAAAAAGCCATACCCTAAACCCTAAACCCTAAACCCTAAACCCTAAACCCTAAACCCTAAACCCTAAACCCTAAACCCTAAACCCTAAACCCTAAACCCTAAACTGACTCGACTCAGGGCACCTTTGCCCTGAACTCTCTGCTTCTGCAGGCACCCTTAAGTGGGAAGACTCGCGATGTTGGGCCTCCAAAACTGGCAGAGGCAACCAATCCGGAGGATTCGAAAAGGGGTTTGGGGTTTAGGGTTTAGGGTTTGGGGTTTGGGGTTTAGGGTTTAGGGTTTGGGGTTTAGGGTTTGGGGTTTTGGGGTTTGGGGTGTAAGCCGCTCTCAAAGAGCTGGTGCCTGAATTTAAGGGAACTGCGCTTGCACTACAACACCCTTTGCAAACCCCATAGAGTCCGCGCGTGTGAATTGCTTGGGTGTAGCTCAGGGTACCTCGGGATTAGAGGGAACCATTCAGGGCCCCACGTGCTTGTTTGCTTGTTGCAGAAGTTGGGAAAAAAGGCACCATTGCCAACAACCTCTGCGTCGACAGAGGCCGGCACTGCACCGCACTGTGCACTGCAGGGTTTAGGGTTGAGGGTTGAGGGTTGAGGGTTGCGGGTTTCAGCGGAAGGAGAGACTTTGCAGAGCGCACGTAAGACCGTAAGGCATTCTTTGGTTGCACTTTCGCTAGCACTCTCTACTGAAGGCCCTGGTGGCTACAGTGAATTTCTTATGGCTTTTCTTATGGCTTTTGAAGGCTGTACTTCAGGCAACCTGGACGGTCTGTTGGCAGGACAGTTCCGTGGTAGTTGCCGTGCGAATGCAAAGAGCAGCCTCCGTCGTAGGGTTTGGTCCATCAGGCACATAGACACAGCTAAACCCCTAACCCGTGTCGTGGATCGCGGGCTTGGCACTTTAGGAACACGTCCTGGGATAGAGGTGACTTCAGTTCTGCCAAGGCATAGTGGGATCTCTAGTCTCCTTCAGGATGTTCTGCTGAAGTGTATGCATGTGGCAGCTACTTTTCATCCAGCAGTAGTTTGTGCGGTCACGCTCTCGGATGCGAGCATCGAATTTCAGCAGGTCAACGCTGGTGGGGCATATCGAGAAATACCAACACCAGGCTGGGCTCCCAGCAATTCTATATCCCCCTTGGGAATTATGTTCATTTTGTTTATATAAAACCCAAGAATATATTAACGAATATTGCTTTTATTGAGGTTCTAAGGGGAGTATAGAATTGCCCTCGGAAGCTTATACTGGTTGGCCTTGTGGTCTAGGGCTTATCGACGGCTTGCGGAGATCCCTCAGGCTCTTTTTGAGCCAGATCTCTGCTTTCAACAAGAGGCAAAGAGAAGCGCTACCTATTCAAAAAGCGTTACG